GGAATGGCCTGAACCCGTCATCCGAGGCAGCTATGGTTCACGAGTGCCACGTGGCATCGACTCGAGATCACGTGACTCTCTCTCGCCTCGGCGCCAATCCGTCGCGAGAGAACAATCAGATCGCACAACCGGCGTGCTCTTTGACCTGGTCTGGCGTCGCAAGTACATAGCTGAGAGCAATCTGGTGAGCCCTGACCCCGACCTTGCACGGTACCGTCAACCCGCCGACTCGTCGCTGTTTCACTCAACTCGGGCTTTTGTTTACTCTTCATCCCTCGCGCCGCCATCAGCCTCGTCCGCGCTACTGTAGCCCCGGTCTGGATACAGAGACCACGCCATGTCCAACCGACTCATCGCCACCCTCTTGCTCGCCCTCGCCGTTTTGTCCGCCTCCGTCTCGGCAACCTACTTCACCTCCCCGACAGCCTCGACCGTCTGGACCAATGCCGCCGGCGAGGACATCACCTGGAAGTACCAACCGGGAGGGGCACCCAACGGCGACATTATCCTCCTCGGAATGAGCCCAACCGGAACTCCCATGTGAGTGCTCGGCCGTTCCCTCTGATTCGATGGTCGCGAGGGGTTGACACGCTATCGAACCGCCGCCGAACAGCACCACGACACCTTTGACGGTCGCGACCGACGTCGACTTGACGAGCGAATCCATCACCTTCCCGGACGGTTTGCAACTCCGAACCGCAACTCGGCAATACGTGCGTCCTCGCCGCCCACCGTGGTTCATTTCCCCCTCCGAAGGTCCTGCAGGAAAGGCACTGACTTGAGAGAGAGAAAATGGTTTCGTCTCCTCCTGCACGCGTGTGAACAGATGCTCCTCATGGTCGACTCGTCCAACCACCAGAACGTCTACTCCCAAGTCGGACCTTTCGAGATTCAGTCCTTCGCAGCGGCCTCGGACTCTTCCTCCTCCTCCTCTTCGACCGCGTCCTCTTCCGCTTCTTCTTCTTCTGCTTGTGAGTGTCAAAACTCGCGGAATTCCCTCCTCTCGCAGGAACTCGAACTGATGAAAGATCGCCTCCGTCTTGCCCAGCTTCCGCCTCGTCCTCCTCCGAAGCAGCCTCCTCCTCTTCTTCTTCAGCCACGTCCTCCCGCGACCCCGTCACCGCCACCGTAATCGAAACCGCCTCCTCCGGCGTCCTCATCACCATGACCTTGCAGCCTTCTGCTTCGTCAGGCGCAGGCGGGGATGCCCGAACCGTCACGGTCACGCAGTCCGCTTCGGAGGCGAGTCGCGCGGCTGCTAGTGGCGCCAACAACAACGCCGGAGCCACGAGCGGTGCTACTGCTGCTTATGGATTGGGCGCGTCGAGACTGGCGGCGATGGGAGCGGCGGCATTGGTCGGCGCTGCTTTCGTTCTCTGAGTAGAAACTCGCCCCTCGCGCTAGGCCCTTCCTCACCGGACCGGTCACTCATACCCATAACTAAGACTTATCATCAGCATCTTGTTTGGAAACAACTATCATCTCATGAGAGGCCTGCGAATGCGGTTCATGAGGAGTGCGGTGAACGTGAAGGCCGACTTGTCAATGTGCGAGGATCGCGCGCGTGCGCCACTGACCGCCATTTGAAGATACCTGTGAGAGAGAGTAGGAGGAAGAAGCGGTAGGTTATGGCGTGAACATGCTGTCAGTATGCAAGTAAGCGGTTGCTTGAAGTGGTTGTAGTGCTCAATCAAATGAACAGAGACACTCACTCCCCATCGTCTTTGACTCGAGCCTCACAAGTACGGTTCTCATGAGAGACGAGGCAAGCCAATCAAACCAGTCCATTTACACTCAAGACATTTTTTCTACACATGAGAGTCCTTGATGAGATCCTGGTCCGCAAGCTCTTGGTTTACCGTGACCCTGCAAAAGGGTTCGATGGCCCTGGGGGTGCAGCAGACGGTTCAATCTGAAAGAGTTCTGAGTATGGCCCCTTTGATACATCTTTGTGGCTGAATACATGTGCAGGTTGCGCGGGGTCGCGAGGCGTTGGATGGTGCACTGTCGGCGCTTGTTCTGCTCGCACCAATGGCAACTCGGGGCCATGAGTTGGCGGACCCTGTGGAGTCCCCTCCTGCAGACCAGCTGGTGGCCAGTCCAGAGTCAAGTGGAGCACAGTGCTGGGGAATCCGTAGGTCAGGGTCTGCCCAGTCCTCCGATCAAACACCTCTGCCCGGCAAGCCCATTCGACCTGTCTCGGTGCAGGAGAACCAGGCTGTACCGGGAGAAAACCGTCGTTGATTGGGGTGAGCTGCCACATATGTAACTGCGGTATCCCGGGGAGACTAGCATGCAGGCGAGTGGCTGAGAGGAAAAACTAGACCCAGTCAGTGCTCATTTTGCGGAGATTAAAGGGTTCTGCTGCTCATGACCACTCACGTAGTTTGAGGCATGGGTCATGCTGGGTTGGACCAGTGCTCCCATCCTTCGTTTCAGACAGAACCCTCTGGGCAGCCGTGGTGGGCAAGCGGAACCCGTGCCTCTCGTAGACTCCTTCTCGCTTTGAGAGATCGAGACCTCGAATGTATCGCGGACCGGCAATTTCGCCCGTGACGCTTATAGTGCCGATATCGCTCCCATGCTTGATTGCGCCGTCACGTGGTAGCAGGTAACAAAATCCACGACTTGTTTGCGCAGCACCCACACTGTAAGAAACAGCCGGCAGGACTGTGGTGCGGCAAAGAGGTAGTTCCAGTTCTATGGGCAGAGAGATAGTCTCAGTACCATCTCTTCAGCCAGACCCAGGTCAGGCCTGTGACTCACCCTCTCGCTTATTGGACAAGAGGATGAAGTGCTCAATAGTTTCCGGCAAGCGAGCACGGAAAGTCGTCAGTGTGGAGTTGTGAATTCCAATCGTGTGTTTGACAAGCACTTTGAGGGCGTCCGCAAGCATCTTGGCGTAACTCGCGCAACCAAATTGCAGGAGCTAGAAGGCGAGAGGTGACGAGTCAGTCTGGGTTGCCGGCTTCAAGGTTTGCTCACGAGGCCCTCAGCCGGTCCGGAGACGCACCTCATTGTGTGCGCTCCACATGTCTGGAGACCAGTGATCTCGATTAGTACTGTGTCTGTCTGCGACTTGATTCTTCGAGTAAGAGAGCATGTTCCTGGTGCCGGAAACGTGCCAGCCGTCGAGGCCGCTCTCGGGCTGCGACATTGCACGGTTGTAAGCCAAAGCTGCGAGACCGAAAGTCACCTGAGCAATGCGGAATGAACCAAGCAACAGGTGGACAAAGTGGGAAAAAGAGCACACCGAAAGAGACCGCGCCGTCGGCGTGTCCGCGGAGTCGCCCGGCGGTTTTCCGTTTCGCGATTGCGTGCTTCCCAAAGCTGTGCGGGGGGATCAGAGCGCACTGAACCAGATTTCTCAACGCTAGCCCGCCCAGGCTGGGAAGACGATATACAAGTCTACGGGGAGAGGGCGAGAAAGCGGCGGAAAAGCGACGAGAAGGCGACTCGGCGTGCCTCGCTCGCGTGACCAAAACCCCTCCTTCAAACGGCCAGGCTGTAACCTATGACCCATTCTTACTGAATCTAGTTGCTGCACCACCGCATCCTCTCGCTGACGCATGACCCATGAAGGAAATAGTCAAGCTTCCTGAGCGGATCCAAAAGGACAGCTGCAATAATTCCGGTCTTTAGTCTGCATTGCCTGTGTCAAAGGGGACAAATGCGGGCCACTAGCCAGCTTGTGCACGTGTGCACAGCCGCAATGCGCACCAAGCTCATGCGCTCACGCTCCTCTCCCCCCCCCCCCCCCCCCCCCCCCC